CCCCCCCTCCACACCCCTCTCCGTCGCCACCCCACGGACATTTATGCAAACCAAGCGTATAGAGAGGAAAAAGCTGGCGGCTATCGGACGCGCGCATGCGCTGCTGCAGGCTTCAACCCTTTTTATTACGACGATGGCCGTGTGTGTATTTTAATTTATGAAAGCGTCCATCGCTGTCCGACCTGGGGGGACGCGCGGCATATAGGGGTGTGACTCGGCGGGAAAGGAAAAAAAATCCTCTGGGTAGGGACAACGGAAGGGTTAAAAAGGCGCGGGCTGATGTGTGTGATCATATGCGATTACGTGTGGACCACGCTCTTAATGGATTCGGTCCACTTTGATAAAGGATATTTAGCCGGCGGTCCGCAGGACGCCTGACGAACATTTTTAAACAAATATGGTGAAGGTGGTGATGCTGCCAGTCATGGCGTCGTGACTGGCAGATGCGCATTTCACTGTGTGCGCGGGGTAGCCGGGCGAGGGGATAAATTTCTAGGGAACGAGGTAATCCCTTGATCTTACAAATATTGACCTAATTCAATTAAAATGGATTTAAGAACAGCAGGACGCGGAAAAATACAATGTGCCGGGGTTGTAATCTTTTTTAAAAGTGAATCCTTCGAAGGGATCGCGTAGGTCATGTGGGTCGATCGTATACCAGCATCCCTCGCCACATTTTAATAAAGACGTGTGAATATCATTATTCCGTTTTCTGATATCATTATCATCACAACACGCGGTTGCGGCCTGGTTTGTCACGTAATGGACCGCCGTGCGCGTGTTTGGTTATTTTTATGCACATCATTAATGTCTTAAAATTAAGTGCCGTAAATCATGGCCCGCTTAACGGATTGACGTCTCCGACGCCGTGCGTGCCGCCGGTCCGCTGGTCCAGTCGTCGAGCGCGAAGGCACTCGTTTCTCACCTGGGCAAGGGATTTGGGCGGCCAAAGGGAACCGCGTCGCAACAAGGGCCGGTGAGAAATGTCTCCTAAGGATTATACATCCGAAATAAAAAATTAAGTCGAATCCTTCACCGCAAACCCTGTGTATGGTCTGGCGGGGACTCGAACTGCATGGCAGCACTTTTTTCCCTCCTTCTGCAGTGTACTTTAATCACGCGACAGGTAGTGCTGTTGGCAACAACACAAGGGCCCCTCTGTGGTGGAAGGATGCTGGGAGCAAACAGGCCGCCGGCTGATAAGTGATAAAGTCATTTTTCTGGGAAGGTGCGCCCGCGGTGCAGGCGGCCGTGGGGTCCGCTGGCCTGGCCTGGCCCGCGCTGGTCCCGCCCGCCCCACTAGGGGACATCCGCCCTCTGCCCCCGCACCCGCAGCGCTGTGGTCTTCACCGACCGGGGGGCGGTCTTCACCGAATCACGACACCTTTCACCTCGGGCGCGCGCGTGCTGCCCGGAAGGGGGGAAAACGGCCTCCTTTTTATATTTCGGTCGAAAACACACCTGGCCGCGATGCTATCGCAAGGATGTTATGTGGCGCGGTCTGTCCGATGGGATTAGTAGTTTCGACCGATATGACAATCGTCCGACGCAGTCTCTATTTAACTTGTCAAATTAAATTCATTTTTGTGTGCTTATTTTGTTTTCACCGATTTTTTAAAACAAAACTTTAGTTGGCAATTTTGAAATATTAAAATGAAAAAGTAACCGTGTTTTCGTGCGTGTGTTCTCTCACAATCTCTGTGATAACACGTCGGCTAGGACTCTGTTTTTCTCGTACGGCGATAAAGTCGGGGGCAGCCCTCTCAGTGTTTTGTCGTTGGTGGACAGGCATACAGCCCGGGGCAAACTTCCGCTATGTCCTCGTCCCGCACCCCGTGCTCCCCCTGCCTCCCTCGCACCTCGCCCACGGCCTCCGGGCGGACTGCGAGGGGCTGATCCAGAGCCTTTTCCTTGATTTGATTGTGGACCATACGCGCTGCGTTAGCTCGCCACCCGAAAAGGTGGGTATTGGCCGTCTTTTTTCTACTTTCGAATAAGATTATTTGTTTGTTTTATTACCGATGTCATGGTGGCTAAATCTGTCTGTAAGTCGCGTGTTTTCCTGTTTCTGTTGTATAACTATCTTGGGAGAGATATTACGGTGGCCGCGGCCACCATTGGAAGTCCCCCCCTCCTCCCCCCATGACACACTACCACACACCCCTTCGGTGGGCCCTCAGGCTGTCCGTTGCCCTTGCTGGATTACGGTTCTAATTCCATTACATCTGTCTCACCAGAAGCGCCTCACCCCCTGGCTGGTCTGCCGATGATATCAAGGAAAAAAATGGCGACCGCCTATGCGAAAAAAATATACGATGTGAGTCCAACTCGACAAAAGTCTCGATCCCGAAACCTTCGTCTGCTAGCTCTTGAGGTACCTTAGGGTTCGCTAAACCCCCCATTTCCTCCTAAAACTGCCGCGATGACATGTCATATGTTACCATATCCAAGTACTAAATATGTCTATTTAACTTGGTTACAAAAAAACGCTCCTCTTTTACCCCTCGTTTTCAGAATGCCGAAGTAGCGCGCCGGGCAGCACGCACACAGTTTGGCGTAGCTTGGATAGTCCTTGTAACCCTCATCGGGGGAGGGAGGGGGGATTTGGCGGACCGCTGCGCGCCGGGGTCAGAGGTGAACCTGAGCAGCGCGCGGACAATTTTATGAGGCGTCACAATCGCATGATATGCAAAATGCGGAAGCAGATGAGGAGAGGGAGGTGGATTGTGGAGGGGGGGAACACAGATGCGTTTGTGTGAATGGACCAAATGAGGCTGAGGTGCCGAACGTTTTATCATTCTCCCCATCATTGAACCTTTTCGCTGCCAAACTCTGCTCGCGCGCGGCAGCGTTACTCGCGTATGCGCCGCGTCGTCCAAACTGGCGACTGTTTTTAAAGGGCATTTTCTCGCGGAGGTACAGCTTTGTTGAAACTGTTTGCTGGGGCTCTCTTTACGGTCTTTACGTTGCCGTGTCGAGAGTGAGTGTAGTGTGCCACTCCGCGCGTTTTGCCCAAAGTTATGTGAGCGTGTGTGTGTGTCAGAGTTGAGCGTCATTTGGCCGTCACCTACACTCGCGCGGCCAGTGCGGGGCACGCACAATGAACGATTTGCATACGATTACGACGAGAGAGAGAAAGAAGAAGGAGAGGACTGTTACTGCAGGGGGCTATAGGTAGAGGGAAAAGAATGCTGGTCGCGATCGCGAACCCGACACGACCTGAGGCGATTCGCGGGTCGCGCTGCGCTGCTCTGGAGGATGGCAATGCTGCGGCTGCTCGCAAAACGAACGAGCTGGGAGGGACGGGGGGGAGGGAGGGAGGGTCGCGGGAGGATTGTGCAGGAAAAAGTGCAAACGGTCAGTTTGTTGCGGTAATAGTGTGCTGGAGGGGGGAGAGCACCCTGACGACCTTTTGTTGCAAGTGTGAGTCGCCCTCTCCTCAGCTTCGCGGCGCGAGCGGTAAAGCTTTTCTGTAAAAACGAAGAGGGAAAAGACCGAGGGAGGGGGGCACCCTCTCATTGACTTATTATTATTGTCCAATGTCAGTCGCCTTAGAAAACCAATCCAGGTTTAGACGAAGTTAACATTTATCGCGCTTTTTTGTGCTTTTAATAATCTTACATTGAATTTTATCTATATTTATTGTCTTACATTTTTTGGAACCCTTCTTTTCTAATCTGCCAGGATTTCGAGTGGTAAAGGTTTGGTAGTGCCTCGAGCGACATTCCCATATACTCCCATATACAAAACTTTTCCACTTCAAGGCAATCGATCAAATCTGCTCTTTTGCACAATTTTTCTTCCCGGTGTACAAAGAAGGACAGTGTTGGCGGCTGGTGGGCACTGGCCCTGCGGCAGGCAGCCAGAGCGTCGAGCAGGGAATTAGGAAACGGCGCGCAAAATAAGAATATTAGGGGACATTTCCTATGTGTGTGTGTGTGTGTTTGGTCGGTTGGGGGGATGGCATGGTGTGGAGGGTTGGGGTGACCCTGTGACCTTTTTTTTATTGATGCTGCGCAATGACCAGCCCAGGCCCGCGAGACAGAGCAGAGGCCGGGCGCGGCAGGCAGGCGGCCCAGAACTTCACCGCCACCACCACCCTCCATACCACGGCCCAGACCCATTGTCTTACGCCACGTGCCCTCTCTCTCTCTCTCTCTCTCTCTCTCTCTCTCTCTCTCTGTCTCGCTCCGCCCCATCCGGCCGTGTCCCGTCCGGCAAATAAATGATTTGCGATATTGTGCGGCTGCTTCGCTACTGTAATCCGCACGGCCTGCTGCCGCTGCTCGCCGTGCTGCCCCGCTTTATTTGCGTCATATTTATTGATTTTGCGGGGCGTTTTCTTCCCAAGCGCGCACCGGTGTCGCAGAGTGGTTATACCCCCCGGCTCCCGGCACCCCCCCGGTACATCAGCCCTAGGTATAGTGTACCGGGGGTACACTGTCCCTAGGGCACATGTACCCCCCCATCTCGAGACCCGGGGGTACACCCAACCTAGGGCTGGTGTACCCCCGGGGGGTACACTGTCCCTAGGGCACGTGTACCCCCCTACCCTCGACCCCCGGGGGTACACCTAACCTAGGGCTGGTGTACCCCCCGGGGGTACACGATCTCTAGGGCACATGTACCCCCCTCCCCGAGACCCGGGGGCACAGCGAACCTAGAGCTGATGTACCCCCATCTGAGGGGGGTACACGTACCCTAGAGATTATGTATCACCCGAGATTCGTACGCACAACACCTAGAGTTAATCAAAGCTCGTTTTAGGTTATGTTAGGCTAGGTTAGGCAAGGTTAGGCTAGGTTAGGCAAGGTTAGGCTAGGTTAGATTAGATCTGGCCACTTTAGTGGTGCGGAATATGTGCCCTCGAAGGCATGAGGTATGGTAGATCCCTTACCATCAAGGTAGGGGGTACATGGGCCCTAGGGGTCGTGTAACCCCGGGGGTACAACAGCCCTAGGTTGGGTGTACCCCCGAGGTTCGAGGGTGGGGGGGGTACATGTGCCCTAGGGATCGTGTACCCCCCGGGGGTACACCAGCCCTAGGTTCTGTGTACCCCCGGGGGTCGAGGAGGGGGGGTACACCTGCCCTAGGGACCATGTACCCCCCGGGGGTACATCAGCCCTAGGTTAGGTGTACCCCCGGGGGTCGAGGAGGGGGGGTACCTCTGCCCTAGAGATCGTGTACCCCCGGGGGTACCCCAGCCCTAGGTTCGGTGTACCCCCGGGGCTCGAGGGTGGGGGGGTACAGGTACCCTAGAGTTGATGTACCGGGGGTACTCCAACTCGGGGGGGTACAATCGCTCTGTTACACCGGGCTTGATTTCGCAGATGGGCATTATACGTCGAGTACCTTTTGGAACGCGCTTTCCAAGTTTTTTATATCGCGGAACTTGTAACGAACTTTGAAAGCTATTCGCGGAAAACGACAAATCCACGCGCGTAGCCTTAGGTATACTTCTTTGCACGATGGATAATAATTGTGAAGTGTCATGTGTGTGTGTGTGCACGTGTAGATGTGTGTACACGGCACACGCCCAACTGCAGCCCTAGCGTCACCCACAACAACGCGACAAACACGACGCCTCGCCCTGCTGGCCGGCTGGATGGACAGTTGTTATGCGCTGAATGACGCGCGCGCTCTTTCTTTGTACAGTTCCGTCCAGCAAATGACGTTTTCCTCTCATACCTCCCCATTTTTACCATGTATGAGCCGCTGACTGTACTACATGGGAGGGGCGCGTGGTGGTGCGCCGGACACCGGTCGTGGACAACAATATATGCCAGCGGTGAATGACATAATGGGACAAAACGATCCTTTTCTGCTCGTCTTTCATTCATTATAAGATTCTTCCACCCCTCCCCCCTCTCTTTTTCCTCTCTTGTTCATCTCTCTGCCTCCCTCGTTCTGCGCCGAGCTCATGCCCCTCTAGATTTCGATCAATCAGTTAACCGTCGTCTCGTTGCGATAAACCTCGCCGATTTACTGCAGAACGGCCCCCGGCGCGCTGCCTCATGCTGCACCATGGCCGTCCGCGCGGGCCCCCCATCCCTCTCTGCTGATAAGTTATTTTAGGACACAAAACAAACCGTTCGCGAAACTGTCCCGGGACACGCGGATAAGTAGGGGAGACTTGCTGCAAAAAGGGAGAGACGGACGCGGGGAAAAAAAGTGGCGCGATGAATAAGAATGTTTGCCGCTTTGTTATGTTTGCTTAAACCGCAACTAGTGGAGACATAACAAGGGGACGGACATCTGTCCGACAATAAGTTAATTTGACCCCCGGTCACCGACCGACACCATGATCAGGGGAGGAATCGAAGGGTCGAGAAAAAGGAAAAAAAATCTGAGGGTAAAAAAAAAGTCTTTGCTTATTCGCAGAGGAGGGGGGAGATGAGGTGCTCAGAGGAAACAGGCGGGGGTGGGTGCGCCCGAGGGTGTCAGGGTCAGTGTGTGAGCTCACATCAAGTAATTACCCCGACCCTACCCGACTGACCTACCGTATGGTCGCCACCTCGCCTGCAGCTACTTTTTTTACACTTACGTTTACAAATAAGATGTCAAAATGTATGATGGCGCCCGGAATTTCAGTCACTTATAGTTTTATTTTTTTTGAGATTGTTTCCTACTACAATTTCAAACAAATTCGAAACGAAAGATTGAAACAAGGAAAGAAATGTTGAGGTGAAAAAAGTAGGATATTCATGGTTGGGCAGGCTTCCCCACGCTGACAGCCTTTCCCCTCTCACCCCGTCGCGTGCACGAGTACTCCCCCCCCCCTCCCTTCCCACCTCTCTCCCAAAGCGAGCCTCGGCCGTCGCGTGATCAATGCTGTGAACTAAACAGCCGTGTAATTGTCGCCGGGTTATCACATCACCTGCACCCGCTCCCTACGGGGCAAAAGGGAAAAGGGGGCGGGGGGATGCTAGCGTAGGTGCATCAAGGCAGGAGAGTCTTAGAG